TTGTCATGAAATTTCCATTTTCATTGTGCAAAAAATAAATAAAATGAAAGGGTTTTATTGATTAACATATATGTATATTTCGTAGATCAGGCACGATATTTTAACACAAGGCAAAGTAGTTTTCAATCCACCGACCACAAATGAACTTGTTGACAAACCCTCGATTTTGTCATCATGACCATATTCATCATTATCTTTACGAAAGCATCAGGAAATAAGCAAATGAGCCAAATCTCACTTAATATGTGTCGAGCAATTATTCCTCACTTCCTAATATAACTATATTTAATTTCACTCGTTGCAAAACCAGATTAGTGGCATTTAATTGCTTCTTATATTCCCTTTCGCAGATAAGATGTGAAATTCAAAAATAAAAAAGAGTTAATAGATCTTAAATCTTATAAGATGTTTTTATATTCAGGAAATTGTGCAATGTTGAGACGGCACCATGATGTCCTTTCATCAATTAGAGTAAATTCTTTCTGGTTTGGAACAGCCACTCCTGAGAAACTCTTAAATATAATAATTAAAACAGCGAAGGGTGTACCAAATTCTTTAGAACAATTAAAAAAATATATGACGAAAATATTTATTTATTTATATCAAATGGCGGACTTTGAAATAGTCATCATTAGCCCATTAGTTTGCTTCGAGCTTCACAGAGGGGAGGAACGTTGATGTTACAAAATATCGAGAGAATTAACAGAAGAGTAATTCAGAGATGTAAAAGAGACAGGAACAAAGGAAGGGAATATGATAAGGTTAGGAATGTGGAAAAAATCAAATATGACATACAGTAGGGGCATGTTGGACTGAAGACAGAAGTCAACTGCTGGTTATAGACCTTTTTGTTATTTGAGTATACGTTGCCCAGGGTGCCACACGTGGAGGTTAGCCTAATGTAAACTCCAGAATTACAAAAGTATAGATAAGAAGGCGCACATTTTGAAAAACTCTAAAGATATCTTCTGAAGATGTAAAATATTAATAAGTCTTCTTTTTGGGAAATTTTTTGGGACTCAAATTTCAAAAACATCTGTTTCATCAACATTTTGAAAATGCAGTAATTATTTAAGCTTAATAAGATACTTAAACTTAGATTTAAAGTTAAATTAATTAATTTAAGATTCACAATACGCACTAAGTTTTTGTAATAGTTTAACAGAATGCTCAAATTTACAAGGTTTCATTGGCAAGCAGACGTTCCTTGTGAATAGATGAAACACCTACATTTCCTTTGCAAAAAAATTAATAAAAATGAAGAAGTAACCTTGTTTTATGTTCTTAACTGTTTTTTTAAAACAAAATTCACTCTTAGATTTTTTATTTGTAAATGATAGGGCGTCATTCATTGCTCCTAATTTGGACCTAAAGCAAATAGCGTTAATCAACATGTAAAATGCTTATTGATTTATTATCAAATCATTATATCACCATTAAACAAGAACAAATGTTTTTTAAATATATTATAGACTTTAATTGATGAAGCAAATATTTAATAATGTATTTTTTCATGCATTTTATGATTGATTTGCATTCATTAGAAATTGCTTACTCGATGTGCAAATACGCACACAATTACGTCTGTCAGGTTGTAGCTTCAACAAGAGGTTAGAAGATATGTTTTTTATTCAAATTGGAACGAGCATTTAAACCATCCACTTTTTAATAGTGGTGATTTACCTATTTAATATCTAAAATAAGTAAACTATTTTAATAGACTTTTATCTTAAACATATTTTATTTATTATCTCCTTAATTTTAACTACGGAAGTGAAAGTGCTTTTTTGGGTCGGTTTATGCATAGAATATAAGTTGAAGCCAACTAAAATGGAAAATTGCCCTTTTCGCTCTTAATGGATTAATTCAGAGAACAGGAACAAAATAAATCCTTCAATCCCAATTATGTTAGTTATTGCGATCTATTTAATATTACCTTGTAATGAAATTAATCTAAAGATAAGACAATTTTATCAAACTTATAAAATAAACAAATTTTGATGCACATTCATATATTAATTTTAATTTATTTCTCTGTTTTTTGAATAAATACTACTGGGCAAATTCTACGTGCGATTTTGAGCACTTTCAAACAGGTAAAGAATAAGTCAAAAAAATATTTAGTGAAAAAAACGTTTGTCGATCGGACACCATCTATTGTACAGTTATCGACAGGACAGTAGAGATGACAGCATAAGCGGGCTTTATGTTTATACCCTTCCATATAAACTTTCATGCACAATATCAAGCTTTTTAACATAAGCAAACCTTCGACACTCATCCAACTAAGCCGTATTTAGTTGAATAATGAATTGGAACTTCGATTTTGTTAGTGGGATTCTTTTCAGTCTGTAGAATAATTAATTATGCTCTTACTCAATGCACAATACGAATTTCAGTAAATTCGCAATATAATCTTCACTATTTATAGAGTAGAGCTTTGCAATAACTTTTCTATTGTAAAGAAAATCATGCCGTTGTATTCAATTACAGAATGGTATAAGCGAAGTTTAAATATTTAGACAATTGTAAAGATTTTATGAATATTGATTTTCATCGACAATTTCTAATATTTATTTATCTAGAATTCGCAACATCAGCATTAGAGGTTCCAACTATTGTGATAGAAAAATGAAAAATGACTTGGTAAGAGGTTGACCAAGATTAACACAATTGTAACAAGTAAATAGATCAAATTAAAAGATGTAATTTAGAATTCTAGTAAACCTTCTCTCAGCAAATCAAGATACGTCGTTTTAGAAGAGATGACAAAATGCAACATATTTGTTTAAAATCTCTTAGCTATGAAGCTTCAACAAGCTTTAATTTCGAACATTGAGAAATTACATTTAATTCATTAAACTAGACACGAATTCGAAAAGTCAACTACATTCAAGGCCAGATGTTTGCCTTGGTGCAATTGGTTACTTGTATTTAAATAGATGTTTATTTTTAAATTTGAAAATTCAAACTGCCTAATTATAAATGGTCAAGGATATTCAGCGAATCACATGCAAAAAACGTAGAATTGTATTGGATTAACATGCGTTGCGCAATTACACATCCGGATTTTTAAATGAATGTTTTTTTTAAAACGCGTGTCGCATATTAGATGGTAGTTGTCTTCTTACATTCATAAACGATGACAACTGTGAATCAATTGTTCAATGGATTTAGATACCCGGCCTTGCTAATTCTAGTGTTCGATTCTTGTTTGTGTCAATACAACTTTAACTAAGATAAGTATGACAGAGCAATTTTCAAATGGACAATAAAGAAGCAAAGCCAATATGCTACCTTGTTAATTAAAACTTAATACTTAATTGGTATTTAAACCAATTGTATTGCTTGAAAGCACATAAAGAGGCCAAATTTGTGTATAGACAATGTTTTCTCTAAAATTCTAAATAGTTCGATAAGTTTTGACAGTGCCTCAGAATCAGATTTGTTGTAAAGACTCGCATTTAGCATAATCCAAATGCATACGTTCTAAAAAATATTTATTTTAGCTTTTAATGTCATCGATCACATAAAAAATACAATGATATTGACCAATTTAGTCTAAAAGGATAAATTAAGTTAGTGGTATATCGGATAAACAAGGCATTCCTCTGAAAATTTTCCGAAATCATTATGCTAAAAATAAAATATTGCAATAGAAAATTAAAAAAATAAAGAATAACTACAAAGTACCTATTTCTCCTCATTCATTTAAAAATGAAGGAAACTAATTATGTCCTAATTATTCAACTACTCATCTAAAAAACAATGAAAAGTGATTCATAAACGAATACCACCTTTAAATTGCATTGTTAAAATAAATATTAAAAATACAATGTGAATTTTTAAAATTCGAAGGTAGGCTATGGTGAAAAGCGAAATTTATTTAAAAATTGCTTAGCTTCATGGAAATATTTGAAGTATATATTTCAGCTTCTTCTAGAGAATTCAAGACCTCAAGGTGCAGCCAATTTAAACCTCGAACAAGGGAGAAAGAGTGGACAGTGGCACTCTCCGACATAGCCGACTGACCAAGAATCAAAGTCGATGTTTAGCTTAGGCAGCGTACTGGACACGATTGTCCGGCAATGCAAAGTCACAGATTAAGAGTATAAACTCAACCCGCATGCCCCTATAGAAGCTATATGAGGAAATGGTGAAAACCCACCTGATAATATCATAAAGTCTGTCATTTTAAAAAAACTCCTAATAAGGTTTATTTAAAATTAGCTAAGTGCTAATGATTAACGTTATCCATGTTTTAAATTTTTAATAAATTAATTTAAACTGCAGGTAATTCTGTATGCATTTTTTTATGTCGACTTTGGTAGTCGATGCACAAATAAATGTTTCCATGTAAAAATTATGAAACACCTCAATTCCTTTTGGATCATGAGAGTATATTTTGAATAATTAACACAACTTCTAATGTGGTTATCAATGACCGCACACAAGCACCATTTCTTGTGAAGAATTTTTATAAACGACATTCATGACTCCACTTTTAGAAGTCATCGTCTAGTTTCAATTGCAGTTTAAAACTTAATACAAATTTAAAATCAAGTTATTATGTGAATCGGTACTTTAATTTTATTTCTTGCTGCATAATGAAAGAATGTAACGTATACATTTAAGATTTTTTACACAGCCAACAGTGAGTTGGAATTCATTTTGTTGTTCAATTTTTTATCAAGAAGGCAATAATCCATAAATCCATTAACTTATTTTTACTAAATTAATTTAATTCAAATGAGGTTTAATAATTTGACTGACATTGTCATTGTATTACGACTTGCTGTTTTAAAGTAATTATTTCCTTTATATTTAACTCTTTTTCACTGCCTTTATAAAATTAATTATAGATTTTGAGCAATAAATCCTTATTCTTATTGAAACTGTCATTCCGCTACCAGTCGTAAAACTTTATGCTACTGCAATGGGTATATATGTGGCCACTAAAGTTAAAGTGGAGGGTTGAAATTCATATTTGTCTTAGTTGAATGATGAAGATGAACTACAGCTGGGTTTTCATCGTGGTTTTCCTATTTACTTATTCGACTGACCAAATATGTTCAGCATTGCATGGAAGTTCTGGAAGCTCTCCTGGCGGCTCACGTGTAATAATAACATATAGCGGGGGTGGTGGTGGTGGACCTGGAATATCCGGATATGGTTTATCTGGACAAAGCGGTTTTGGCTCTAGACCTTCTGGATTTGGCAGTTCTGGATTTGGTACCTCTGGATTCGGTAGCTCTGTTGTTAAGGGTCATGGATATGACGGTTCTGGAAATGGTGGTTTTGGATCCAGTGTTTCAGGATATGGTGGATCTGCTTCGGGTGGTTCTAGATTTGGCAGTTCTGGATATGGTGGTTCGGGCTCCGGTGGCTCTGCATTTGACAGTTCTAGATATGGAAGTGGTAGTTCTGGATCCGGTGGATATGGAAGTGGGGGTTCTGGTTCCGGTAGTTATGGAAGTGGTGGTTCTGGATCCAGTAGTTATGGAAGTGGAGGTTCTGGATCCGGTGGTTATGGAATCGGTGATTCTCGATCCGGTGGATATGGAAGTGGTGGTTCTGGATCTGGTGGATATGGAAGGGGTGGTTTTGGATCCGGTGGATATGGAAGTGGTGCTTCTGGATCCAGTAGTTATGGAAGTGGTGGTTCTGGATCGGGTGGCAGTTTCCCTTCAGGCCCGAAAAGCGATTATGGCGGAAGTGGCAGAGGAGGTGGAAGCTCTTACGATTCTCCATCTGGTACTGGGACAAGAGACAGCGGAAATTCAAACGACGGTGATGAAATTCCTGACGATGTCATTGATGCATTAGACAAATACTTGACATCTTAAACGGGGATCACTTTATTAAATATGAAGAAAATTAAAAATCTTTATTTTGCAGATTCATATGTTCTAAATATTCAAATTCATGCATTATGTAATTTCGTGATGAATTGTTAATCCGACATGTAAAACCAACTTTTTTTCATTTTAAATATACTTATTTATTTCAAATGGCAACTCTTGATTAGATCGTAGTGTGAGGTGAGACCTTCCTTTACTCCAGTTAGAATTCCATTTGCAACTTGCCGGTATTTAGGCAGATTGTACAGGGTGTAACCTGGAAATTGGTAGTGCTTCAGTTTGTCATCAGGGTGTAACAATGTAGCTTCCATAATTGTGAAAATGTCTACATCATAGATTTGAGCTGGGAATTGGTAGTACTTCAGTTTGTCATCCTAAATGTTTGCTTCCATAATTGTGAAAATGTCAACATCATAGGTTTGTAGGATTTTCTGTACTTGGATCTTCTTGTCCTGTGACATCCCTCCAGCATTCCATTAGAGGATCTGAAGACGTTGTGATTCGCCCTGACGAAGGCGATTTTTCTTATAGTAATCATAATTAATCGAAGTCAAAAACGAATGCCGGGTGACCTAATCATAAATAATCGAAGTCAAAAACGAATGCCGAGTGATTTCTTTTTTAAAGCTAATCATAATAAATAGAAGTCTAAATGCCGAGTGTTAGACTTTTTTGCCGTAAGAAAATACGTTGTCCAGGGTGCACCAAGTGGAGGTAAGTCTATCGTGCACCCCTCATTTTAAATATACTAATTTTAGTAGCATTACTGCATTATTCATGGTTTATTGGGAATAAAGAATTAGTTAATTCATTTAATGTGGCCGAAAGGTCGGTAGACCAAAACAGGGGTTTCCGAATAATGAACGAGAACGGATGATTTTTATAAGTTATTTCATTCCTGAAACTCATCTAATCTTGTGTCAGGTATTCATGTGCTATGGAGACGGAAGTGCAAATTGTCGACAAGAAACAGGGTTAAGTCTAAGCATTATAATTTACTTTGGTTACCTATTTCAACATCCATGCTGACTAGAAGTGCCAGAAAAAAGCAAAATCCTAATATACTTTAGCATGTTTGATGTCTCTCTGTCCTAGAACTCGGTCATTTACTATTCTTTATAACGTTGACAAATTCTAAGGTAAAATATGGTAATTGAAATAAAATTTTAAATACATCATGGGATTTAAAACAAATCGATCCACACATAGATCAGGAATTCTAATAAATATTGATCAAAGAAATATTGCACGCTTCAAAGTAGTGCATCAACTTAAAATTCTCTATTCCAAGGATTTGATTTCCTTCGTTGCACGCCCAGCTGGTAAAATGGTCAATAACTATGGTTATGGATAAAACTCCCTTCTGATTCAGTCTTTAAGAGAGGTCAAAAATTTCAATATTAATTTAAAACCTAATCTCAGATCTTTATACATTTGCCAAAAACGATAAACTTTTCATAATATATAAAAAAACATAAAATTAACGTAAATGGAGTTTGGCTTCATTTTTGTTCCTTTATTTATCTAATTCCCAATTAATCTTTTTTATTTAAAGCCAATCTGAACTGTTTATATAACGCGAGCGGACTATTCCATATCCCGTCCATGCCAATCAGATAGGTTTCAATTTTGACAAAATCATAGTTGGCCTTAACTGTATAAAACTAATTTTCTCAATATAAATACGCATTTATTTCTGTAATCTGTATTAAATGTGACTAATTTAATAATTGGTTGGTTCAATATCAAATTGGCGACATTCCCATTAATCTTTCTAAGTAACTATCTGCCCATTTCCTACAGTGAATCAAGGAAGAATAAAGTAACCCACTCACAAAGGCGGACGAATTGCCAAAATTATTTCATTCTCTAGACGCATTCAATCCGGTTTATCGTAGTCTACATTTTGCCTTTAATATACTAGATTTGAAGTGCAAGATGAATTTTATAACAATACGTTATATAGGAAGACGGTTGAAGATGATGACAATGAAAAGAACGACGGCGATGGATAGGATGTTATTGGCGAAATTGGAGGTTGATAAGAACTTTTTTTATATTGCTAACATCATAGTTCAGTTTAGACAGCTGGCTTCGTTTTTTTGAATCAATTAATAATAGTTTATAATCTAGATTTAATTTTTAGTCAAAATTGAAACGAAATTCTCCCTATGCAGAATATGTTTGTTATATAGGAAAAACCTCTTTCATTTATTTCAGGTAATTCATCTACCAACTTCATCGTAAGCACATTGCTTCACAAAAGCCAACCTTTTCCATGAATTCCAAGTAAAATGACAAATCACTGCATTTTGCATTTATTTATCTTTAGAATATTTCAAATATAAGTGCTAATTTTGGCTAAGTTCTGTTGAACATAAACAATTTGTATTCATACTCTAACCATTTGCCATATATATATATATATATATATATATATATATATATATATTGATATCAAATTGAAATTCATAATCCATTTGTTCACTGGGTGGATTGAGTTTCCAGAAACCATTTTATTATTTCATTTTTTTTACTTTATCTGTTATTAAATTGCACAATCCAATTAATATGAATCGGATATTCTAACACTTGAGACACTGCAATCTAGGTAAATTTTGCTGAAAATATGAACAGACTGCTTCATGAAATCTAGGCAAAAGTAATAACCATTCGTGATTTGAAGGCACCGTATCTTACAAAATTGCAAACCCTCTTAATAATATTGGCATATTTATTCAATTGGCATTGAAGGAATTCAATCGAGAATATCAGAGTAAGGAGAAGTCTAATAATGAAGGCTGTTTAGCTGACTGTAGCCTTGGTATTTTTTCATCCCTGTAGTAAAACTAAACTCAAATTTAAAATTTAATTCCTACTATAATTCGATAAAAATTAAATTACAGTTATGTTAAATTTATTCATATTTATTACTAGTATCCGTTTGAAAAGCATTTAAAGCAATTTTAGTAAAGTACATTAGTCAATTTCGCCAATTTAGGATACATGCATCTGCGTATTTGCATGTCGTTAAAAATTAACGTAATTCGCATTATGGCCCGTATTTTTCGCAAATTTCAAATAAATACACAGCTCCTAAATCAAACGCTAATTTAAAGAAGAAATTTAATTTCAAATAACATCTGAACTTTAGGCTTTTAATAAAGATTGCATCTTCTACAAATTAAATATTCCAGTGGTAGTTTAATTGCGACCGTATCTTTTAAACACATTCACAAAAGGTGTTTCTTGAAAAAATTGGGAGAGCTTGTTTTGTTCCATTTTGACTTTTTGACGTTTTGCCAGCTTGTCCTAGATAGGCTATTTTTTGATAATAATAAGTATGAACTGGTGCCGCAAATATCACATGGTAAATAAACGCACATATCCATTTTTATATGTTGTGCTAATGATAATAGCAACTCTTTGAATCACTTTCTAATTAATGAGAGGTCTAAAGTAATTTGACATATTTTAGTTCAAAAACATTTCATGTGAATACCTAAAGGCGACAATGAATGTGGCCAAAAACTGTTAAACCTCCATTATAAGTAGACGCTGGGTAGCAAGAGAGTATATCTTAGCCTTAGTAGATTCCCAAATATTTCATGGAAAATTAGTTTTGCCCATGTGGGGTGTGTGATGGACTTAACTTTAAGTGGAGCACCCTGGGCAGAGTATACTTATGCGGCAAAAATTCTCTTAATCGGCAGTTGACTTCTGACTTCAACCTAATATGACCCGACTTTATGTCATATTCAACCACTTTAACAGTACTCATCTTACCTTTTCTCTGCATTTGTCTCTCTGTATGTCTCTTTTACATCTTTTAAACACTCTTCTGTTCCTCCCTTCCTCCTCCCTCTCGACTTTTTCACTTTGTTGTTTCCTCCTCTGTGAAGTCCGTAGTCAGCTAAAGAGCTAATGATAACCATCAAAACGCCTGTCATTTGATGTAAATAAAACGTTGCTCATTGTGAAACTGTGACAGTTATAATTACTGAACAGAACTGAAGGAAATGTTTTCAATCACAATTTACACATTTTGAGAAAGTGTATAGGACTAAAAAATCAATTATTAAAATGTTTTTACTTTTGAGTAAAGTTTGAAAATTGTCCAAAACTCATTACTTAATATAACGATAGTGGGGTTCTTGTTTTCAGGCTTCAGAAAGCTGACATCGAATTTGCTTTATATCATTCAAATTTAACAAAACAAGTTACTTTGTTATCACGATGCCATTCCTATTGAGAAGGCAAAATAATCTTGAAAAATTATAAATCAAGCAATAAACATAACTACGCAGCAAGTACTGTCAGCTTTTCTTATCATGGTATTTTTCTGAGAATAATTAAAACTTAGAATAGCACACATAGTTATCGCCACCATGCACATTACGACCATGCCGTACAACTGCGTATGCAACAACGGTACAATCAATGGCCAATCAAAAGCCTTAGTTGTATCCTAATCTGCCATGCTGATTATGATAAAGCTCCCTGTGTGAGGACTTAACCCACAATATACTGAATAAATGTGTTCCGTGCAGTCCGTCTGTTTCCTCTTAAGCTGGGCTATAGCTTAGCTAGTTCTGGGAGCCTAGCTAGAAGGAGAACCTGGCACAGAGATTTCCCAGTCAGTCAGGCTTCATTAGTGAAGCAATCCGCTTCTGTCTCTGAACATGTCACAAAGTGATTTTGTCAAGCATAAGAAATGTGACTTTGACCAGAAATTTACTTTTTTGAACTAACGATTGACTAAATGTAAAAGTGAGAGTAAAATTCCAAAAAAAACGGATCGTGAATTTTGCTTGCTATTTAATAACCATTCTGCCATCTATTTTGTGAGTCAACCAATAATTGAAACTGATGCTCGGCACTATTTTAAATTCGTTTATTAAAGCTCACTTAGCCACTTCAATATCTCATTTAGATGGAAACCTAAAAGTAAAATTGAAAACGTGTTATACATCAGAACAATAAGA